TGAGCAACAAAATGGTTTATCAGATGACATATTTGACACGCCAGCTGACCCATTTGGTTCAGTAGCTTTTACTCCAGCAAATAACAACAATGATGTTCTGGCTCAGTTTATGGAAATGAAGGTAAGTGTGTAAGACGGCCATGAATCACTTTCATAGACTTTGTAAAGGAAGAGGAACATTTAGAAGTTAAAGTATACTAGTAAGTTAAAAAGGCTAATAGCAGTTTGGGGAATGACAAAAGCCAGTTACATGTTTTAGTCTCTTTGTTTTCTTAAGTTTGACTTCTATTAGTAATATTTAATTTCATCATTTGTTTCTGAGGTATCTGTATTCTTGTTTTTTTAAATTTAACTTTGTTGCTTAAGTAGACATTTCTCCCTTAACCATGTATTTTAAGACCTCATATTAACAGTATCCTGCTGCTTCGTCTTTGCAGGCTGGATTTAGTCGTGGCCTCTCATTTGGTACAGCAGATGACGACTTCACCCTGGAGAGTCTAGACCCTCTGAAAAACTAATTTAAAAGAGCAGTGTCATTAACAGTGTCTAAAGGTGTCCAACCGCAAAAAAGCAAGAAAAGAAAAAATAAGAAAATTATAATAAAAAGGATCGCAAAGTATACTTTTGACATTCCTTACATAGATTGTTGTAAGATGGTACATGTTGGGGCTGTTAGATGTATAATGTTGCATGATCTGCACAATATAAACAGATATCATTAAGATTATTGAAAAAAAGAAAAAAAAAAGTTCTTTGGGTTTTGGGGAGTAAGGCCTTTTTTTACATTTTTTATGCTTTTTTCATCAATAAATTTGTGTCACATATAAAAGAACTAGTTCTTACCACATTTTTTTCAGTATTTCAATAGCTAACCCTATACAAGATTAGATGACAATTGCACCAGTAACATAATTGTCTCCGGTTGTCATTACCTTTGGTTGTTATTGTGGAGTATTCTAAACATGCTGCTCGTGAATATCAAATATTTTTAAATTTTTTAAAATGATTATGTAACAGCACAATGCACAACTCTTGTCATCTCATTATTTCACTGGCAATTTTATGGAGAATAACTCATTGCCTGCTGTAGAGAAGATATTGTATTTCTGTGTTAAAACATATCTGAGTATCACACCTAAATCATGATATGGTTATGTATGTTTATTTAAGAATTCTTTTGGCAGTCATAGATGTGTGTATGTATTTTATATGCCTTCAATGGCCATACAAAACTTTACTCCGTTATTCATGTGTGTCTATAGAGAACACTTCATCATTCTTATGAAATATTTAATGGAAATTTTGTTGTCCTCTCGGTGTTGATAAATCATTCTTGTACTCTCATTCCACAATGTTTAATGCTTTACGTGAAAAGGACCTTGTGATAAAGTGAAATGCACATTAGATGATGGCTTCACAATTACCTTATATTATGATGTATCTGTTTGATATTGATATTTTCACTGCTACTAATAGCCAGTTGTTGCTGCAGAGGCCAAGTATTCAGACATTCCTGTTAATGCTCTTCTTCTCATACTGAGTGTTTTCAAATTTTTAGAAGAACCACTTGAAGAAAGAGTGTGTTCATACTTGTAATCATTCCTGTATTTCCGTGATATGTGCTTGGAATTAGCTTTTATCATAGCTACAGCTGCTTTCATTGTCGGTACCAGTGCAGCAGTGGCAAAGACGAAATGAACAAAATATTGATTGTTTTAAGGTATCCAAACTTCTAGCTACTTTGCTCTGGTGCCTTTGATTCATTATGTTGAAGAGGCACCACATGGTGGAAATGGCATTTGCACTCCTTAATTTTTAGATAGAAAGATTTTTAACTTTAGGCAGATTATAGATGTTTAAAAAAATCTTTCTATTTTCCCCTTATACTATGCAATATACCTGATATGAGTGATGCTATTGAAAGATGTATATAAATATCAATATATAACTTTGTGTGATAGTTGTAGAGGATCAGATTTTGTGTGTTTTGTTATTATACTAACATATGCATCCTCTGGGTGCACTGGGATTGTTACTGCCAACTTTGTGATGACATTGCATATCATCATGACCCATTTTGCAAGCATAAAGTTTTGAAGACACTGGCTGTCGACGTTTGTTTTCAGCATCTCTCATTGTATTTGTAAAAGGTATTGTTTGTATCACTTATTATCAGTATTTATCAGTGTACCAGTTACATCTATTAATTGTTCTACATTTTAGGAGCATGTTCCAATGCTGTTTTTCCAATACAGGCAGTAATGAATCTCAATATATTTGATGATATATGCATATGAATATTTTAACACAGAACATAAGCAAGATCATTGTTAGTTGATCAAGAGCAACTTGTAGCTTTTGAAGGTGTTTAACACTGAACACCTGTATTGCGATGTATGATACTGTCTGGTCCGATAATCACATACATGAAATGTTATTCATTGTCTAATTTAACCTTCTTGAAGCTCTTCCATGAATTTGTAGATACTGATATAATACCATACATAATATATACATATACAATTTAAGTATAGTATAAAGAGAGTCGAGTGAAAAATCTATATAATGATAATATAAGAAACAGTGCTATATCATCAACACAAAGAAATGCATGTTTATGTATGTGCCTTTGATGTGTATGTACACATGCACAAGCACATACATGCCCACATATACACACATGCTTGTGAACATAAACACACAGTCACAGTTACATTGATGCAGATATTCATGCTAGCTTCTACACACATAATTGTACTCTTATAAATGTAGGCAAATTATTATATATTTATCAAAATTTGGTTAAGAACAGGTTGTAAAGTTTCCAGTCATACAATTGTATGTTACTATATCTTGCATATTACTTTATAGTTATTATATTTTTAATAACCAAGATAGCATTTACAGTATGTACTTGGGATTTGTTCATAACTTAAAACTGCTTTACTTTGATAATACTAATGTTAGCAATAGAGTGAGAATGTAATTTTCCTTTCATTCGGAGTGAACTGTATGAAGTGATTCTTTGTATGAGTTGTGTTGCTCCACAACTAGAGCTGTATTTGAGGGTATTTGGGTGGTATCAAAATCTGTTTCAATAGTTATTTGTGATTTTGTTCAAAATGTGTTGATGTAAAAATTGCATAAAAGAGTTTTCTATTTGTTCAATTGTATATTTAGCTGATATGATTATACTGTGTAAAAGTTGCCCTTTTCCAAATCTTTGTCACAAATTACTGATATTGTCCTGGTAATTCTCAAGATTATTGCTGTGTACTATCAAAGAATTGTTTTTAATATACTTCCTTGCAGAACTTGTGATCTATATAATGTATTTTTTTATTTATTTTTCTTTGTATATAGATTTGAATGCAACTTGAACTTTTGCTCTTGTGTTTCCTGTAACATAAGGATATAGAAGGAAAAGGAAAAATACATTTGACAGATATACATATGCTACTTTTTGCACATTTTATGCACATATGTAACAAGTTACACATGTATTTCTGTGTTCATCAGTAGGATATATGAACATGCAAAACAGAGTATGTTTATATGTCCGTGCATGTGCAAGTAAAGTTATGCACTTCTCAGAAGGAAGTATTTTATTTCTCTCTGGTATATAGAGTTTTCTCTTTACTTTCATGGGCTTAACTTCAGTACAGATGTCTGATTAGTATGTTTTATTCCTCACTTGTAGGTTTCTGTGGGAGATAATTGCTTTATTGCACTATTCAGGTATCTTACAGATATTTATGGTAATGATAATAAAATTACATAAAACTGAGGGAACCCTCTAGTGGAATTTCTCAGATTTCACTTGTGCCTACCTGGACTGATAAAAATAACTGTAGTGCACAGGCACAAAAGCTCACAGAAATGGATATTTACGTTACATATAGCATGACAGCCTTATCCACTTTAAAAAATAATTTGCTTTCAATGTAGAATTGCCTCAGTATTCAGTTTTTATTGTCGTGTCATATTTTGGGAGCACAATAATGTTTTCTTAATAAATCAAATCTTAGATTGCTTCAGTCAATACCCACAACATTCAGCTGAATGTGAGTTCCATTTGATTAGAGCACTGAGCTTCATCACTGCCTCACATACTTAACTTCTTCACCTGTTAGAATTATCAGAATTTGTAAATAACTGTTTAAAAAAGTTATTTTCCATTTAGCTGGTCTTTTCTTCTGTAGTTGCAATGGTTTATGTTAGGTCCACCAACTCTAAATTGGCTTAGGTTTGCACTAGGTTTAGATAAAGGGCGTCATGTAAGCTGTATTGGTTATTTCAGATGTTTGGATGGGGTATACTACCCAGTGGTGTGTTGCACATGTTTACAAGTCACTAAAGCATTGTAGTTATCAAACTGAATGTCAAGTACTTTTAGGATTTCATTTCTCAATTGCCTTTTGTATCATTTCATTGTTATCTCCTCTTTTTGTATATCTTTTTTTTTTTTTAAGATTAATTCCATACAAATATTATGACCTGCATTGCTAAAATTCCTCTTACATACTCACTGTAGTTGATAGAATGTAAATAAGATCTGTATATATAATATACCTTGAGATTTTTGTTTTTCTTACAAACCTTTAAAAACTGAATCATTTCAATTGAAAATGTGGAAATAAAAAATGGAGCATATGAGTATGGATATATGAGCAAAATAATCTGTATATTAGAAGTTACATTGATAATGTAGTTCAAACCAATAAGTGATTAATAACATATTTTAGCACTCAAAGCATCAACTAAGAGATATAAAATAATTAGTTACCAAGAAATTATATATGAAAATATGGAAACTTCAAGCAAAACAGCCATGATAAACCTTGAAACAAAGCAAAAGGACAACACTGAAGGTTTGAAGTATTAATTGAATAATTTGATCGTTTCTGTCTGAAAACCTTTCCGTCAACTTTTTTAGCCAAGCATAGTCAGAGCAAGAGCTATATTCGAGAATGTTTGTATTTATGTTAAATAAAATTGTCAAAAAATTGACGGAAAAAGTGCTAGTGTGACACGGCCTTAAGAATGGTATTTTTCATGAGCGAGCTTACATGAGGTAACCAGATATGGAGAGAGTAACTGAGAATGTAAAATTCATATCAAACTAATATAATCACGGAATTTAGTCTTATAGACCTCAAAAGAAAGTAGATGTACTCTTACAACAAAAAGTATCAAACCTCCCTTTCTCTCTCTCACACCACATGCACACACCGCACATTCACACGCACACTACACACACACACACACACACACACACCACACACACACACACACACACACACACACACACACACTCTATTGCCATGGGGGGACTTGAGAGACGGAGACTGGGGCCCAATGTTGGGGATCGCCCCTACCTAGGACCTCAGTCCTTGCCCCAACTAATTTTACATGGCCTTTCTTTCTCCCCCTTCCCTTTTCTTTCTCTTCTTCATCCCCTTTCTGTCCATTTCCTAATGTGTAAGAGCCGTGCTGAAATAATGAAGGGCTGGCTTAATGTCTGTCATGAATAGCCACCGAGACCTATGGGCACGGTATTCCTTTGGTTAATCACCTAGCCCTTACCCCTTATGGGGACCCTGAGGGGCAGACGGTTTCTTTTCTCCCACTTATTTCATACTCACCATGGCTAATAATGTTTTATCCTTATTAGAGGCATTAAGGCATCAAATAGCCTATCTAAATTTGATTTCAATAATAGTCCCCCCTCGATGTCTATTGGCAACCCTATCCATTCCGGTCCACCCACCCAGGTAACTGTGCAATCTTCAGAAAGCACCTCTTCCTCTATCCTAACATTTTCCACACCATCTACGCTTTGTCACTGTTTCTTCTTCATTGTCTACCCCCCCCCCCTCCTCATTACTACTCTTCATTCTTATTGTCCTACTCCCCACAGTACATCTTCCTCTCGCCCTCGTCCTTCTACTGCTCTGCACACCTTTTGAGTACTCTCTTTGGCCCAGCCCCTCACTGTAACAATACCCTTCTCCTCCAGCAATGTCTCCAAAAACAAGTAGGCAAATTTTCCTTTCGCAGTTGTTCAGATCGTTCACACCTTGTCACAGTTACATCTGAGTTCCAAGCTCGTGCACTATCTCCCCTTACTGACCTCATGGGCAAACGTATTCCAGCTGAACCTTACTCCTCTCTTAATGCTTATACCGAAACTGTTTCCGTCTCCCTGACTGATTGTCCTATTTACGGCAAGAACTGGCCCGGCTATGAAAACGACCTACTTGCTTGCCTTTTTGACTATGATGCAGTGGCAGTACAGTGCTACACTATTCCTCTCAGAGGAGCGCTTAAGTCCTACACCAACATTGCCAAGGTTACCTTCATGGACATGACCTCCCCCATGAAGTTTATATCGGTGGTGTCCTACCATGTTCGACCATTTCAACCCCATCCTTGTCTGTGTCAGAAATGGCATTTTGGCCAAACACTCGCTCCACAGCCCACTGCCCTCTATGTGTCCAACCTGGTCATGACCATTCAAATTGCCCTGCTCATTCACGAACGTGTGCCAATTGTGGTGGTTCCCATAATGTATGTTATAGGGGCTGCCCTGCCTGTAAGCTCGAATGTGAGGTAGCTGTCCTCAGATTCAAACTAGGGCTCACTCTATGTAAGGCCAGAAAGGAAGCACGACGAGTTTTTTTTTCTCTCTCCGGGCCTTTCTCTGTGTGGCCCGTCCTGTGTCAGCTATTTCTAGCTTCCTTCCCCTCCTGACACTCTTGCTGATATTTCACCACCTTTCCCTCATTCCCCTGATTCTTCTCATGCTACTTCAACAGCCATCTCAACCCGCATCACCCGTTGATCATTTCACCATAGCTCTTTTGCCAGTTTCTCTTAAACAAAAATATATAGCTTCCTCGGTTACAGATACACTCCATTTCATCTAATCGCCCAATGCTCTTAACCCTTTCCTTTACTAAGGTCCGATTTACTTCATTTACACACCCCTTTACTCTTTTCCCTGTCATATCGTCCTGTAACACTCTATGACCTTTGAGATCTGACACATTTTATCCTAATCGCTAACTCCTTTTTACCTTTTTCGCCACAATACTTTACCATGGTGCTATATGACCTTTTGTCGAGCACATGTATTTGTTTCAACCATTAACCCCCCCCCCCACACCCACACACACACATACACACACACACACAGTGCGGTACAGTAGTATAGAATCGAAACTTAAGAAAGGATATAGACAAACTGGAAAGAGTTCAAAGAGCGGCCACAAGTTGGGTGTCGACTCTATATAGACTACAGACATTAGGACTTACTGCTTTGGAAGAAGGAAAAGCATGTAATAGTCTTCCAAAAAACATTGTGCGTGCCAAAAATGTGCATCAATTTAGAGTTTTACGACAATTTAAAAATAACAGACGGGATCCTCTGAGCTTAGCACTAGGTACGCACACACACACACACACACACACACACACACACACACACACACACACACACACACACACACACACACACACACACACACACACACACACACACACACACACACACACACACACACACACACACACACACACACACACACACACACACACACACACACACACACACACACACACACACACACACACACACACACACACACACACAAACACGCGCGCGTATAGACATATATAGACCTCGGCTGTGAATCTCCGGATCGACCCCCCAATTTTGAAATTAAATCAAATCATGTGCGCAGCAGGTACAGCAATGGCTATTTACGCTACCCACATCAAGGAAGCAAGAAATAAAATAGTTTGATATCAACTTCGCCATTACATTTGCCTAGATTGCTAAATCGCCTGTAATGATATTACCCCACTATCACTGTAAATGATGATAATCAATAAATACTTATTAATCCATTTTACGGTGTATCCACATATGCCACCTGTCAAGAGTGTCTTCTGCGCCGCCCTTGGATATTTGTACAGTTTACAAACAGTATACACAAGTATGAAGGAGATTTTATATGGTGTAAGACAACCACCATACATTGTCAGATTTTAAGTGCAGAAAAACTAACGCCCGAACAGGGACTCGAACCCTGGACCGTTAGGTTAAAAGCCTAACGCTCTACCGACTGAGCTATCCGGGCTCTGTAAGGAAGTGAAAAATACTGTAAAGTAATTTAGTAATTTCCTTATTTTATTTCATTTCATGTCCTTCCAAATTAAATGTGAAATATATTCTTTGATGAAATAACGAATCTAAGAGATAACCATTATTTTTTTGCGAAACAGATAATTGATGTATATTGTAGGATTAATACCATCAGCCAAAATTACTGATTGTTCTTTTTCGGTGTAAATAAGAATTATTCGTTGCGAAACCCACAGGGCTATGATAGTTATAGAAGTGTCGGGGATCGAACCCACGGTTTTTCACGTGTACAATGACCACTCTGGCTCTGTCATATCCCGAGACATACTATAAACCACAGCTTTTATCATCTTATATGACTGCAGATATATTCTTATATGATGTGTCACTAAAAAGCAATGCGGCGCAGTTACGACAACACCCCAGCACCGCAGCATGAAAGTTGGGGAATATAGTCCGTAGACTTCTGTGCCGTAAATCCATTTCCTCGGCTCCGCAAAACGAAAAAAATGGAGGATTTAAGACCTTTCTCAATGCATGACAGAACGTTCACATTATTTTTTTTTCTTTCAAAATTTCAAGATGTAGGTTTTCATTAGGTTGGTTATTCTCCATAGTCTTGCCATTTTGACTACAGACAAAATCATATAATCGAAAATAAAAGTCTAAACACCCTATTATAAATACGCCCAGATATACTTAAAAAAATACATAAATATTTCTACTAAACTCGACAGAAAAGAGGAAAACAAAAAGGAAAAGCCACAATCTATACATCATTACATCACATCATAAAAAACTTTTAGGTCCGTACACCGTAGGGTCTCGCCGTGCATCGTCTGCAGGGAAGCGCTGTGGATGAAAAGTAAACATTTAATTTTCATCAATATTTGAGCTTCTGTGGTTGTTTATTGATGCAGGTTGACCTCAGTAATGGATGTCGAGTCGAATGTCCGTCAGGTACGTGGTTATAATGTGAAGGAAGATGGTTAAATTTTATATTCAGCGGAAAGGAAAGGGCCCATGCAGTAAGTTAGGAATGGTTATGCTGGGTAATCCATTAGTATTGTATAACTTAAACGTGGATCAAATATAAAAACCTTATTTACTCTGTTAGTGTTATGTTTTGGATTTACTCTTGCACCATGGAATGTTAAGAATGGGTTAATTTTACACAATAGCGCCGCATAACAGATCGTGATGAATTTGGTATCGAAGGATCCCTCGCACTCACTAGTGTCCAAGCATATGGAAATGATTGCGTGAAAGCCCCCCCCCCCCCCCATTAGCGACAATTTTAGCCACAATAGTAAGGGAGGGCATGGAAAGTGCCTTGGAAAATGCAAAGTAAAATCTGAATGATATTCAGAATCTGTCACTGTGTTGCCTAATGCAGGGGAGTGTGTCCCATGTGACTAACCCATGGAGGATTGCTTCCCCCCGACTTCCACAATGGAAGACAAAGAATCCTCCAAATATTCACAGCAGGAGAGAGTGTGTGACTGACATACGGGAGTTCCCAATCCGAGTCTATCCGATGCTCATTTCTGCCATGAATGCATGGAGGTTTCTTTCTTCTTTTTCTTCATTCTTGTTATAGGGTTTTAGATTAATTTTGTCTATATCCCCTGATTCCTCTTCTTTAGTACCTCTTATTTCTTATAATTTGTCAATTAATTTGTTTTTTTGTAGGAAAATCTTGGTATGTGTCATTATGTAAAACTTTTTTGGTGATGGATGGTCTGCACCTGTAATCAGAAGATTAATATTAATATCTTGAATATGTTATTTTTGCGATGCATGTATCCCTTTTTCTGTTTTTGGCTCTGGTACATGGTTTTGGATTGTTGTCTTTGATGAGGTAATTTTTTGTGTTCAGGATTCTCTTTAGATTTGATTCCTGTTGTTGAGAGTTTGTTGATTTGATTTCTTTTATGGTATATTTTGTGTCTTGGAGTATGTGCATGGGATCATTTATTTCATGGGCTTTCTGTGCCGCTAGATCAGCTCTTTTGTTACCCTTTATGTTTTTATGTGATGGAATCCAATGAATCATTATTATTTGTTTTTGTGTTGCTGGAGTGTATTTGTATTTGTATTTCATATATGATTTGCTTGTAGTTTAAGGGTTTAGGTTTTTGTATTGGTTGTAGTGATGATTGTGAGTCCGTTAGTATTACTGTGTTATTTAGTTTGTAGTTTATTATGTAATTCAATCCTTGTTTTGTAGGAAATAGTTCTGCAGGAGTGATTTCTAATTTAGACGGTCATTTCCAAATAGTTGTTATATTTTTGTATTGGATTTGGTTTCTGGTTCTCTGAATTTTGAGCCTTTGGTAAAAATTCTAATAAAATTGTCATATGCTGTATTTATCAATTCTTGAAATTGTTTTTGAATGATAACTTGAGGGGTGTGTTTTGTGATGCTATCCATAAATTTTATTTGTATATTTTCTGATATATCATACCATGGGGGTATAGGAGATATGTTTGATATTTCATTCTTCTAGTTTCAGTAACTGTATTAATGATCTTTTGTCTCGTCGAGGATTATATTCTTTGACGCAAATTTGTTATTTGATGTTTTATTGGCATTGTATATGGTTTATTTAAGATTTTTGTTAATTGTATGCATTCAAGTTCTTGGATTACTTTTTTCAGTGGAGGTTTGTTTGTTATTGCTTGAAGAGCTATGATTGGAGTTGATCTAAAACAGCCAGTTGCTATTCCTAGTATTTGATTTTGTAGGATTTCTAATTTTTAAATCCTGTATCTTTGCTGCTCCTGCTCTATATTTTTTGGTCTTATATATATTTTATAGAATTCTAGTAGATATTCTCTTTTTGCTCCCCAATTTAATGAGGCTAGTTTTTTCATAATGTTTATTCTATTTAGCATTTCTTCTTTCAGATTTTCTATATGTTTTTTCCATTTTAGTTTAGGAGCATCTAGTATTAATCCTAGTATTCTATGACTTTGTGTATATTTGAGTTCTGTATTATCTATTTTTATTTTTGGCAATTGAGTTATCGGTTTATTAAAAAAAACACTGTAACTTACTTTTTGAGAAGTTCATTTTCAAATCCCAGTTATTGGCCCATTTTTTAAGCTTTTATAATGCAGTTTCTATTTTATTGGATACTTCTTGTAAGTTTTTATTGCTTGTCGCTAGTGTTATATCATCTGTGTATATTATCTTTTTAACTCTGATAGTTTTAGGTCATTAATCATTATAGTGAATAATATTGGGCCGATTGGAGAGCCTTGTGGTAGGGTAAGCCACTTGGAGTTTTACCTCGTTTGGATGTTAGATTTACTATTTTTTATTTAGAATGTTCTTTTTTCTGATAAATTGTTTATCCATTTTAGAGGTTTTCCAGTAATTCCTAATTTTGACATTGGTTGACAGTATCAAAAGCTTTTTCTAAATCTAGTTTCATGTTCTCAGTAATTTTTCTGAATATGAGCACATTTGTGCTTTGGCACAGACTGACAAATTTCAGCTATGTGTTTATATATTCAGCAAGATAGAGCTTAGCCTGGTTATTTGAAGATAGATTGCCTGTGATGTTTACAAACTTTATCCTGCTATACTATATTTGACCCAGTCTCAGGAAAGAATTAGAATAAATATTAGAATAAGAGAGAGATATGGTGAATCGTACCACTCCAGAGTCTGGTGTGAGTTGCCAGTTTTACCTTTTCTAAGATTGGATGAACTCTGTATATTGTAAAGGATTGTGTACCTTTGTGGAATTACAAGTCACAAGGATTATAGCAGTACAAGACCTATCTCTTTAGCCATAGATTTGTGGATATTAGTAAAGGGTTTATGGACTTATTTTTCACCTTGTGCAATCTGTGAATATTGATATATTTATATATTTTTTAATATTTAATAGTATTTTGTGTATTCCGTATGGTCTGTACCTTAGATTTTCTCTATGCTGCCATGTTCTGTTATATGATGTGGGGATTTGTTATAAACTACAATATTTAGATATGTTTTTAGTAGAATACTCTGTCGCTTTGATATCTACAGACCCAGGTTTTGTAATTTTTTCAGGTATTGTTTAATAATGAATAGAGCTTCATTTATGTCATTTTGAGTAAGTTATTCTTAAAGGATCTAATAACCAATAGGATTTAGGATTGAATTTTTTTTTTTTTAATTGGTTGTGATTGCTTCTTACAATAAGTAAGAGCAGTGTAATGTGACCCTATGTATCTTTTCTCTTTCAGTTTAAGGATTTCCTGTATCTCTACAACAGCATATCAGAGAAATGTTTTAATCTGTGTGTAACAGCCTTCAATAAGCGTGACCTTGAACACGAAGAGGTAAGATAATCTTTTTAACTACAGAGTTTGATTAGTTACAGATATTGATTTAAAAAAATTTGATATAAAGTTTTAGAAAATGTGTGTGCCTGTGCATGTGTGTATCTGACACATATGTGTTTTACTTGCCTTGCTATTTTTTGTTTCCAGATCCAGCATTTAGTATATATTTTGCAAGATACTCCACTTTTTTTTTTTTTTTTTCTTTTTTCTTTTTGCATAGTTCCATTATCTTATTAAATGCATTTATATAATTATGTAAGTGTACCATTTTTATCACTTCAAATGACTTATCAACCTTTTTAAAAAATAGATCTTACATTCAAGTTTCTTTGTTTTCAGGCTAGCTGTGTAGATCGATGTGTAGGCAAACAGGTCAGTGTGAACCACAAGGTTATGTCCGTGTATGCAGAGCTTCAACCTGTCTACCTCCAGAAACGCCTTGATGAGATGAACAAGCAAGCTGAAGCGCAGATGCAGGCTCAGATTCAAGAGGAGCAGCAGCAGCAATTACAACAAGACTCCCAGCAGTAAGACAGTAAAGGACAGTTCATTATGGCTTTTTTTTCTGGTGCGCTATCCCGAAGTGTGAGACTGGGTTTCTCTCGTGCCTTTTCTGCTTCGAGAATCCCGTCCCAATTGCGAGAACTAAGAAGAGTGTATATCCTTGGTGCAGCAAAGCACAATTTTCACAGTAGTGCGCTGAACAGGTTCTGTGCAAAAGACATTCCAGAACAGTCTGATGATAGAAACCAACAGGCTGTAGGGAAGATTGACCCGAAGTTCCAGTTAGTGTACACATGCAAGGTGTGTAATACAAGACAGTCTAAGATAATCTCTCAGCTTGCTTATAAAAAAGGTGTCGTAATTGTCACGTGTGAAGGCTGTGCCAAACACCATTTAGTGGCTGATAATCTTGGTTGGTTTTCGGATTTGGACGGAAAGAAAAACATTGAAGATATATTGGCAGCAAAAGGGGAGGCAGTGCGGCGTGGCATGACAGGCTTAGGCCTGGAGCAAAATGAGCAAGTTAATCCCAGACAGAATAACATTGAAGAAGAGGAAGAAGCCAGGGCACAAGCAGCTTGGGGTTCTGTGCAAGAAACTCTGAAGATGATGGCTCAAGATGATGATAAAATATCCACAAGCAATTCTAGTGAGAGGGATGAGAAAAAGTAGTGGTGTGTGGTGATTAAAGTTTTAAAGTATTTAGTAGTACTAATAATAATGGCAAGAAGGGTATCACTAGTGGCCTTTGTAGGTCTTCCAGGTGCAGGGAAATCAAGTCTGTGCAAGGAATTATTTGAGAGTTTGGAGAATAGAGCAAATTCCAGTGCTCTTTGCTTGATTCATGTCTGTTTTGATGAACTGATACCTTTAGATCTCCAAGAGAAATTTGTCTTAATCAAGCAAAGTAAGTTAGAGGATGAGGTTGAGGGGGCGAGTTGGAAATCAACACGTCGTGATGTTTACAATAAAATAGACAGGCTTGTCGAATGCTTAAGAAATGACATCATTGATTTAGATATCTTCAAACTTTTTGGTATTGAAGAGAAACGAGATGCCAATGTGGATCATATAATTCTTTTAGATGATAATTTTTATTACAGGAGTATGAGGTATGAATATTTCCAGCTTGCTAGAAAGCATAATATTGGATTTTGCCAGTGTTACTTAGAATGTACAACTGAGGTTGCAATACACCAAAATCTGAGCAGAGATATTCAGGTGCCAACTGCTGCAATTGAAGCCATGGCAATAAATCTTCAGCCTCCTCAGCCTCAAGAACTAATGTGGGAGTTGAACACCGTTGTGATTTCATCAAAGAGTCCAGATAGAACAGATGCCGTATGGGATATTATAGAGAAGTCTCTGGAGTTGCCTGTTCCACCCCTTGAAAACCGAGATTTGGAGAAAGCTGAAGCACGTCTTAGGTGTTCGCTCAGTGTAGCCCACCAAGCAGATTTGATTCTGCGTAGTCTGGTGGGAACACTAATCAAAGAAGCGAAGGCAAATAATGAGTTCCCTACCTCCAAGTTGCCAGAATTTTCACGCAGTGTAAATTCTGGACGACAGAGCATTATTGTTGCAATGAGAGAAGGGTCCCTCAAGTTCCCATCCCATTTAGCGGAAGAGGTGTGTGAAGAGAAGAAACAGGAATTGTGCGAATTTTTGAGATCAGAACTGGAGGAGAAACTGAAAGATCAGTCACCAAATTATTGTGAGTGAGGACTGAAATGTGTTGTTGAATAGTGAAAATAATGTTTTGAGTGAATTGTATATAATTTTGCTTTTATAGCCATCAGATAAAAGATGTATATTTATGTCTTTCAAAAGATGAAGAAAAATGTTAATAAAGTATTCCTTGGTAGAATGCATTTAAGTGCTCCACATTTGAGATTCCCCACCCATCTACATTGATTTCCACCCATATCCACCTTTCTCTGATCCTGTCTTTTGTCTGCCCTTGCTCATTTCTCCCTCTCCCTGTCTCAGTTTCTGACCCTTGCCCTCCCTCGGCAATTTCTCTTTCTCCTTATCTCTGTCTCTCTGTCTGTCTCTGACTCTGTCTCTGACTCTGTCTCTGACTCTGTCTCTGTCTTTCTCTGTCTCTGTCTCTCTCCCTCTCTCCCTTCCTTCTTTCCTCTTCTTCTTCCTCTCCCATTCCCTCTCCCTCTCCCACTCCCTTTCCTTTTCCCTTTCCCTTTCCCTTTCCCTTTCCCTTCCCTCCTCCCTCCCTCCCTCCTCCCCTCTTCTGTCCTCTGTCTGTCTCTGTCTCTGTCTCTGTCTCTCTCTGTCTCTGTCTCTGTCTCTGTCTGTCTCTGTCTGTCTGTCTCTGTCTCTCTCTGTCTCTGTCTCTGTCTCTGTCTCTGTCTCTGTCTCTGTCTCTGTCTCTGTCTGTCTCTCTCTCTCTCTCTCTCTCTCTCTCTCTCTTCTCTCTCTCTCTCTGTCTCTGTCTCTGTCTCTGTCTCTGTCTCTGTCTCTGTCTCTGTCTCTGTCTCTGTCTCTGCTGTCTCTGTCTCTGTCTCTCTCTGTCTCTGTCTCTGTCTCTGTCTCTCTCTGTCTCTGTCTCTGTCTCTCTCTCTCTCTCTCTCTCTCTCTCTCTCTCTCTCCTCTCTCTCTCTCTCTCTCTCTCTCCTCTCTCTTCTCTCTCTCTCTCTCTTCCCTTCTCTCTCCCTCTCGCCTTCTGTCTCCCTCTCGCCTCTGTCTCCTCTCGCCTTCTGCCCTCTCGCTTCTGTCTCCTCTCGCCTTCTGTCTCCCTCTCGCCTTCTGTCTCCCTCTCGTCTCCCTCTCGCTCTCTGTCTCCCTCTCTCTCTCTCTGTCTCCCTCTCCCTCTCTGTCTCCCTTCTCCCCTCCTCTAATATATATATATATATGTGTGTGTGTGTGTGTGTGTGTGTGTGTGTGTGTGTGTGTGTGTGTGTGTGTGTGTGTGTGTGTGTGTTGTGTTTTCATATGTTATTTTTAGTCACACTTTCGCACACACATCCGGCAGCTTGGATTGTTGGGAACCAAGTGTTTTTATTTGCATGACCATTGCTTGGCCAAGTGTGGCGCCACTAGCATCTCTTACAGTTATCTATTTTAGAGGTGATTAGCGGTAGTTGATCCTCTAATCGCTAGAAAACTCCTATATATAATGATATTTTACGTATTTTGTTCTTTGTACTGTCTGTAGTAGACTCTTGTTTTGTCTTCTGCTTTGCACTTTTCTGTACTGTTCTCTATTCCTTTACTCTATTCATCTCTCTCACTCTCTCTCTCTCTCTCTCTCTCTCTCTCTCTCTCTCTCTCTCTCTCTCTCTCTCTCTCTCTCTCTCTCTCTCTCTCTCTCTCTCTCTCACTCACTCACTCACTCACTCACTCACTCACTCACTCACTCACTCACTCACTCACTCACTCACTCACTCACTCACTCACTCACTCACTCACTCACTCACTCACACGCGCACGCACACGCACACGCACACATATATTTGTACATATATAAATTTACACATGTGTAAGTGCTGTTACATATGTGCGTATGTGCATGTATGCTTGTCCGCAGAATCCGAGAATGTGAGTGATGAATGTCTTTGTATGAGTGAATCTATAATTGACAATGAGAGAACTGAGGTAACCTCTCACTGGGTAATCGCGCCGGCACACACACACGCATAAAGTGTGTGTGAACGAGGTTCGTATTGCAGAATGCGAGAAAGTTCGGACAAATGAGCGTCAGCATTTTACACGCCATTGTAAAACCAGCCAAGGCTCATCGAAACAGAAATAGCCTTGTAGTGTTAATGTGGCTGTAAACAACTCTTGTAGATTTTCTAATGAGAGGAAATTCGGCTTCTTCCATATTCGCTCTGAACCTCGTGATCTCAGGGACAGCTCCGGGTTAACCTAGGATTATCAGTAGGATTTCGACTAAGCGATGACCTGTGTTGTAAGAAGCCAGGAGGGATCTATTTTTAAAGTTGGAAATTAAAGTAACATAAAACTTGGCAGCATCGGCATCTTTTTAGTCATTAGCATGAACAAATTGCTGGATCGTGTGAGTACAAAAGACAATGGATTCCGGATTGTTACTAAATTTGAAGGTCGTGAGCACCAACTTGAACGTAAATCCCACTCGCACATGCACTACCGCACGCAAGCACTCACTAAAACAAACACACACACACACACAGACACACACACTCTCAAACAAATACACGCACACATATTCCCTAATGAGCATTAATCCCTCATATGATAAAAGAGTACATTTATTCCCATGGTGTCTAAGCCAAGGACCCCCATGAGGTGCTCGCTCCTTTCCCGATGCAGCATCCGCTTCTCTGACATTCACACATCCTGTAATGTATTCAGCCTTAGAGAAAATAAATTAAAACGAAGAAAATATAAAAATCCTTGACGATTACGACTCGACTTTCTCCTCGTCTTGTATATAATTATCCTGAGTTATGAATATAATAAAACTTAAAAAAGGCTGATGTATTCCGAAAGAGTTGAGTATAATAA